TGCTGCTGATGCTGCTCCTGCTGTTCCAGCTGATGATGATGCTGCTCCTGCCGATTATGATGCTGCTACTGCTCCACCTGATGCTGCTACTGCTGATGCTGCTGTTCCAGCTGATGATGATGCTGCTCCTACTGCTGCTCCTGATGATGCTGTTGCTGCTCCTGCTGCTACTGCTGATGCTGCTGTTCCAGCTGATGATGCTGCTCCTGCTTGATGCTGCGACTGCCCCACCTGATGCTGCCGCTGCTGTGCTGATGCTGCTGCTGATTGATGCTACCACTGCTGCAACTGATGATGATAATGAATATGAGCAGCACCTCGCGGGTGCGACACTGCACGGAAGGTGAGGGGGGGTAACCTCACCTTGGAGAAGTAACCGACGAGGGTGGCAGCCGGCATTGGTCTCCCATCCGTCATGACGTAGAAGAGGGAAGGGCTCCACGTCGTAATACAGCGTCTTGTGGTCCAGGAACAGCTTGGCCAGGAGGCAACAGGTTCTGGCAGTACGTCTGCAGACAGGACCGTGCGACGAATTTTAAACTCTTAAACTGAACCATTTTACCAGGTAAGGCCCACGAAGGTTTACAGTAGAACCCTCTGAACGACCACCCCTGTTAACGATTAATCGCTGAACGATGGGCCTCCATAGAGCCCAATGTGTAGTGTACACTAGTGTAGTGTATAGTGTAGTCTATAGTAGTGTAGTGCTTCCATAGACCCCAATGTGTAGTGTATAGTGTAGTGTATAGTGTAGTGTACACTAGTGTAGTGTATAGTGTAGTCTATAGTAGTGTAGTGCCTCCATAGACCCCAATGTGTTCGCTTATAGACCATTCCCCTGTTAACGATGGGCTGATGTAGATACAGTAAATATTACTTACTGCATTGAGTAACCACGTTTCTTTAACATGATGTGTTTATAATGTTGTTAGTATCTTGATGTATTAATATCCATTGTCTAAATATGTTTATCTTTCCATGCTATCGGAACGAATTAAGCCTTTAACGTGTATTTCCTTTACTCGCTTAACGGCCAAATCACTTAACGGCCGGTTTCGTGGAACCGATTACCGTCGTTAAGAGGGGTTCTACTGTTTCGCTCATTTTCAGAAGCGACCTGGCGATTGCAAATGACAGCTCAAGTGGCTGACCATCGTGTGGAAATTTATAAGCAGCCAAATACTCTCAGCGCGTGATATTGATTCTAAATGTGGAGGGGAAAACCGGAGGGCCCGGAGAAAAATCCACGCGACCACAGGGAGAGAGACACGCAAACTACAAATATACAGCAGCAGGCATCAGGATCGGGATCGAACCCACGACTGCCTGTATACTAGGCGAGGTAGTTAACATCTCCTAGCTACCGTGATGATGATGATGATGAGAGAGAGACACGCACACTCCAAATATACAGCAGCAGGCGTCAGGGTCAGGGTCAGGATCGAACCGACGACCACCTGCACACCAGGCGAGGTAGTTAACATCTCGCTCCTCCGACCAAACGTTTTCAAAGAGGTGGAAGCAACCAACACTTCACCTCACCACACGCGTCCTGCCTGTCAAACTGAGAACCGCCACCACAATTTACACTGCTCCGTGGACCGGAGGGCCAGAGGCATTGAATAAACTTGCCACACTCTACGTACGTTGAACTTCTTTCGCACCGTACATAGCCAACCGTGCTAATCGCAGGCGTAAACGCACCAGCGCATGCCATTCACCACGCAGCTTGTCACGTCTTTCGCTCGCACGCCGTCTCTCCAGAACTCACAAGTGGGGCAGATATATTTTGGAAAAATTGCGTTGTGAACGATGTGGAGGAGTCGTATCGATTCACTCTCTGTCGTCAGCAGGGGTAATATTGCTCTGGGGGGGGGTCACACAAAACAGACTGGTGGGGTCGTTCGACAAGAGACCAGTCTCTGATTGGGTCTCGGAGAAGATAAATAGACTCGATCCGATGGGACCCTTTAGACAATTATTCGGACCGATCTCTGACGGTGTTTTGATGAGGATGACGGAGCAGTTCCGATCAGGTTGGGGAAGGCGAAAGCTGGGAGTTCCAGCCCTTGAGGGTAGAAAGTGGAGAGGGCGGTGACCTTCCCCATCGAGTGGAGGGTTGACACGGTTGATTTAAGTTGTTGATTTTAGATTTTGCAATATTGGCAAGGGATTTTCCATTGCCTGCCTCTGTGAAATATATCCTAAATATCAGCCTGGTCGGACACTGACTTCTAAGGAGCAGATCCTGTTTGAGATTCCCAGCTTCAAGGTGCCTCTGGGGTGCCCAGCAGAGTGCAGAATCCATGCTGTGATGGAGCTGAAATCAATGAGAAACCCCGAGACATTTAAAGACTCTATTTAAAGCCCACTTACTCAGAGACGCTCCGATCCACTTCTCCAACAACATACGCGCAGAGTTAAGACTCGCGAATCTACGGCTATACCTCCTCCTAACGTGTGTACGTACGTGTTCAACTTATTTAGCGCCGTACGTAGCCAACTGTGCTGAATCGGAGGTGCGGTGTATGTACGTGTGCTGAACTTCTTTCGCACCGTACGCTTATTTGGCGACACTAAATTTCCACACGATGAGCCACTTCGTTGGGATGTCACTTGTGAGAGCCAGGTCGCTTCTGAAAAAGAGCAAGTGGCTCGGTAGGGCCTAACCTGGTAAAATAAAAAAAGTTTCAACAGTTTCAATCCGTCGCCTGGGGGGATCAGGCGAGTTCGGGGTAATGTGGGCACGTAAGGCAATTCGCTTAATGGCACCATCGCCACGGTGACCCCCAGCAACCTCCATGGGTGTTGGCCGAGATATCAAACGAAGCACCGCTGCACTCTTACCTATTCGTCGCAAACAGCCCATCCATTCACGTGGGGGGGGGTCGCTTTGAAGCTCTTGATGGCTGAGCAGTCACTAAGTGACCTAAATGCTGTTCAAGACTTGTGCCGCTGTGAGTCATCGTCGCCCATGGGCGGTTGCGGTAGAAGCCGCGGGGGGCTCCTCAAATCGTACCCACGACACGGGCATCGATTAGCACGGTTGGCTACGTACGGTGCAAAAGAAGTTCAACGCATGTAGAGTGTGGCAAGTTTATTCAATGCCTCTGGCCCTCCGGTCCACCGAGCAGTGTAGATTGGTGGCGGCGGTTCTCAGTTTGACAGGCAGGACGCCATATGACCATACTTCACCACGCTGGTCAATGCGGGCTGGTGAAGGCAAGGGGCATATACGTGGGAGCACAGAATTTCATTGCAAATGAATGGATTTCGCTGGACTGCCCTCTGCTGCCCACAACAAAGGTCAACCCCCGATGCCGCCTCTGGCAACCTGGCACGCGGCATGGTGGCGGTGGTGGCCGCCCATCCAAGCACTATCCAGACATTCAGACGCTGTCTTTCCGACAGACCTGTTCTTCACCTGAGGACGGCTGCTTGCGTTGTGGCCGAAACGTCGTGAGAATTGTATTTTATTATGTTTATTTTTATTATTTTATTATTTCCCTTCTACGTGACTTTACCGAAAGAACCAAGAAGATGAATCCCTGCAGTCACGAAAGCTTTAAATCGAAATTTTTGTGTTTAGTTTGCTGTCCTTCCCCCACACCTCTGATTAGCACGATTGGCTACGTACGGTGCGAAAGAAGTTCAACATGCATTTGGTTATAGTTGTAGAGCTTACACTAAATCGCTGAGGAGCTGAGAATAAACAGGCTGATAAACTCCATCTGACACGGGCGGTGCGACAGGGGAGAAACACCGAGAGATCCGTGCGTGAGCTTTTGAAAATGCTGCTGACGTTGGACCGATCCTCCAGGATTCTGACAAAAAAGAAGCGACACTCCGGGGACATGTTCTAATTTAGAAAAAACACAGATGGGCATTAAAAATTAAAGCAGCTCACGGAGTGGCCGAGTGACTCAGAGGTCAGAGCACTCATGGCCACCGTTGAGACCGTGGGTTGGAATCCTGACAGCAGCCAGTGATGACACTGGGACGAGAGCACGGGCCGCGGGTGGATGGTCTCAGCCCGGACACCGCGGACTGCACAAAGAACTCCCCGCCACCCCCCCGCCCATCAAGTTTGATTCCGCACTGGATGTGACCGTCCAACAGCAGTTCAGAATTACATCTTTAGAATCATAAAGGAGAGAAAAGGCCACCTGAAAATAGTTTTTTTCCAGAAGTTTCTTAAAATATTTGCATACACGTACATTGAACTTCGTTTGCACACCTTTGGCCCGTACCATCAGCCCCTGCCCCGGTGGCATCGGTATTTGCACGCCGTGTCTTCCGTGAGAGACCGGACCTATCCCCAATGGGCTCTGTACGTCTGCGAATGTATGTTGTGTATGTCGACGAGGTATTCACCAAAGGTACGTACATTGAACTTCTTTCGCACCGTACGTAGCCAACCGTGCTAATCGGAGGTGCGGGTGAAGGATCATTCAGGTCCACTCCCCGACAAACGCACAAACGCACAGCGCAACGCTCTACAGGAACGCTGAATGGAATCTTCGTCACGGGCCACGACGCCAAAGAAGAGCACAACCGGAATAGATTGGGGGAAGTAAATTAAAAAAACAATTAAGATAAACGTTCTAGATTTGAAGCTTTCGTGACTGCAAGGATTCATATTCTTAGGTTATTTCGGTAATAAAATAAAAATCACGACGTTTCGGAGGCAACAACGGAAGTTTGTGTTGCCTCCGAAACGTCGTGATTTTTATTTTATTTTTATTTCACTTTTATTAATTTTAATTTTTTACCTATGTTACTTTACCGAAAAAAACCTAAGAATATGATAATCGTTAACCACGCTTAACCTGCACCTCCGATTAGCACGGTTGGCTACGTATAGTCCGAAGGAAATTCAACACACGTACAACCCGCCCGCACCAGCTACACGCTTGATAGAAGGGGGAGGAGAGCCCAGTGCACGTGTTCAACCCTTTTAGTCACTCCACTGCTGGATGAGGCCCATGGAGGGGGGGGTGGTCCTGGGGGGTTATTTGACCGTACTGAGAGCCTTGAGACTCCGTTACGCTTTGCTGGGTAAACGAGCGTAGCACAGCGGTAGTGATAATGTATAAATAATCCACCACCTCCCCCGGGCGGTGGTGTTGTGTGCCACCGACATCTGGGTGGTTGGTTTTCGAGCTGTTCCCCGTACGCGGGTGTTTGTTTCGTGCGTAAACAATTTAGCGGGTGAAGAACAGCCAAGTGGGAAATGGCCCTAACTCAGTGTTCTTTATTGCAAACCCCGCACGCCACTGGCAGCACCTGGTGCCTTTTAGTGCAGCCCCTGACGTGCGGCCCCCGACAATACATAAATGTGAAAACGCCCCCCATCATCATCATCATTGTCGTGCTGCTGTCGAACCGCTAATGGTTTCAAATGGTGTGACGGCCTTCACGCTGACGATGTCTTATCGGCGAAAGTGGCCAGCCCCTCTGAAAATGAGTGAAGCACATTTCTGTAACGGCTACGAAATCTCTGCACGCGCGCGCCCACGCCACCTTGTTCTTTTTGCCGTCCACTTCGAAGACGGACACGCTGCCGTTCCGGTAGATCTCATCCCCCGGCGGGTGCTTCCAAACGCACTTGGCCTGGCCAGAGACAAAGCGGAGAAAGAACATGATATTTTACATTTAGAATGATAAACAGACAGATGCGCAAATGGGAAAATTAAAGACACAAGCCAAGGTGGTGCGATAGAGGGCCATGCAAACCAAACTGTGGACCAAAGAGTAAACCCAGAGACCCATAGAGATTCATAGAAACCCATATAGTTACATTTTATACAATCAACAGTCGCACAACCAACACTTTGTACCATAGAGTAAACAACAGTAGTTTGTGCACAAATGTTAAAATTGGTCAAGTAATTAAAGATATTAAATTACCGTACATTGCGGGAAACCTAATAAACTGCCCAGATTTTTTTGAAAAAAAAAAGCATCCGAGTGAGATATGGCACGGCACATAAAATACAAAAACTAATATCTGATACTAAGGATGAATTACCTAAGCGAACAAACAGGTGTGTACCGGATAAATTGCTCCTGTGGCAAATGCTGTTGGTCAGAGGGGCCGAATGATCATCATGAGACTAAAAGAACACCAAACACAACTTTCGGCAGTTGCAGAACGCGCGTGCCAACAAGGACATTACATTTATTTTGATAATGTTGAAGTTTCGTGTAAAACTAGTTACTACTGGCTAAGACTAATTAGATAATCTATTGTAATTGAGAGAAATAAAAAAATACTTCGAACCTTTCTGATATCCACAGGCCGAGTGCTGCTTGGAAGCATATTATCAAGTAATAGACTATATTCTTGGTTCTTTCGGTAAAGTAACGTAGAAGGGAAATAATAAAATAAAATAAATTCTTTCTAAAAGAAAAAGGATTTCTTTTATTTTATTATTTCCCTTCTACGTGACTTTACCGAAAGAACCAAGAATATTAATCCCTGCAGTCACGAAAGCTTGTTTAATTGCATGCCTATACAGGTCACTATACGTCGATTAACTACGACTTAATGTGTACATAGCTGCTGCCAAACTAAAAAAATAAGCATTCCATTATATGTTGACTAGCTTTACTAGCCGGTTTCGCCCGGGACTTGGATTCTTGTCTTGGATTAACACACGGCCTACGCGGAGGGTGGGGGGATGTGTGACGTCAGCAGGCACACTGCGTGACAAGCTAAGTAACTGAAAGCGAATAAAAGCATTTCAACGGACACTCTGCATGCACGACGTAAATTGCTCGCGCTTGTCGGTTACCCTCAGCGAGTTCAGAAAGGCCTCTTATATCGTTCTAGCTTACCACGTGGATTTACATTTAACCGTAGCCATTTCACATTGACAGATTCACACAGTAGGTGATTATTCACCAATGACTCTCACGCCCGATATAATTTCACGCGTATAAATAAACTCGCGTAACCCCCCCTGGGACATTTCCACGGAACACCCCCCCCTCTCTCCCAGGGGCCCCCCCTGTTGAGCACCACAGCTGGGACTGGCAACGCCAACGCCGCCGCCGACGCCGCCACCGCTCACCATGTGCCTGCGCAGGATGGTGGGGCTCTTCATGTACTTGAGGCAGAACTCGCAGACGTAGAGCTTGCCCAGGCGCGTGTACTCCTCGGGGTAGGGCGAGTGGTACCACGTGTCGAGCTCGTAGCGCCCAAACACGATGGTGCGGATGCCGGCCTCGAGACAGGCGCCCACCACGGCCGCCCCCGCCAGCGCTCCGTCGCCGTCGCACGCGGCCCCGCGCAGGTGCATCTGCTCCTGCCGCGGGGTGGTAGCAGGGGTTTTAGTGGGGGGGTTGATGGCGGGTGGGGGGGGCAGAGGTTTAAACACGGCATCTTGAGATGCGTTCGCGTGTAAACGCGACAAAAATCTGATAATTGTTTTTTACCCTTCTATCTGGCAACAAAACTGACACCTTTTTTTACAAGGAGTCATGTTTGCATAGACCACAATACCTGCAGTTATAATGCAAACAAAAAACATAACTCTGATAATGTATGCACTGTCCTTGAAGTGGATTGGTCCACACCCGAGACAGCTTTCCTTAGAGCCTAGTCTCACATGGTGTTGGACCAGATGACGCGTCAGTTTTGTTGCCAGATAGAAGGGTAAAAAAACAATTATCATATTTTTTACTGGCAAATGAGGTTCCAATGGTGCGACAAAAATCCACGCTGTACCGTAATGCAATAAAACCTCGGCTCGTCTTTACATCCCCCTGCTTGTATCCGCACACACGCACACAAATAAAAAGATCCCCCGTAAAGCATTCAGACTGTTGGGCCAAGTGCCGTTAGCAAGCAGAACCTATGAAGAATGGCACGGTACTTGTGGGGGTGGGTGGCCCAGCACCACGCCCGACCGCCTTTGTCTCCCGATGTTTACACACCCCTACACCAGGTACTCAATTGAGGCCGAGTCGACCTAGGGAAGGTCCAGAACTGGTTTAGATCATCGTCACCGCTGTTGGCCGTGAGCGGGATTCGAACTCGGGTCACCGGGTTCGTAGCGCGGCGCGGAAACCGCGACGCTGCCGCTCCCAGGCTGATGTTCGCACACGGACGGGTGGTAGCGTGCAGTGCAGGTTTGCGGTTCAACTACAGGGGCTGCCCCGGTTAATGCCGCACACACACACACACACGTGAATACGTGCCATCTGCGTTGCAGCACGGGTTGAAGACCTCGCCTTGTTACGAGAAAAAGAGTGCCAGCATAATTGTCCAAACATTTGAAAACTGGACTGAAATCTGAACAAAAGATCTAATCCCAACATAGCTTTCTCTGCTGGCTGGCAAGACTATTTCCCATTGGAGGAACGGATGATGTATTGATTTTCTGTCGCACAGAGACAGGTTCCATAGCGGTCCCCATGGCTTCAAAAAGCAACACTGCGCTCTGCCATGTTACTTGCTGCTATGGGTGTAAAACAAATAGAATTACAATCTTGATTTTAAGCTTTCGCGACTGCAGGAATCCATACTCTTTGGTTCTTTCGGTAAAGTCACGTAGGGAGAAGAATAAGGTTTATTTCAGCAGTTTTTTATTGCTGTGGTTGTCCCACCTGATGATGGTTGCTTTGTGTTGCGATCGAAAGACCGCGATCTATTTTATTTTTCTACCTACGTGACTTTACCGAAAAGCAATTATGACTATTTATATGCGTATGTATAAATTTTTAGCAGTAGCAAAATACTATAAACCAGTGGTTCCTAACCGTTACTGAAGCCTTGCACCCGTTCGGTTCTCAATCGTAAAAAAAAATGTATTGTATTAATACATAGGGTTTGATGAAACAAAATACAGTAAAACATTGGATTGCGAGTAACTTGGTCTGCGAGTGTTTTGCAAGACGAGATAATTTTTAAAATAAACTTTAACTTGATAAACGAGCGAGGTCTTGCAATACAAGCAGTACCTACAGTATACGCTTTGCTTTGTCTGCCGAGCGTCACGTGATCACAACTGAGCCGATGGTTCTTCTCTCTCTCTCGCTGTGGGATTGTGGGTAATTGTCTCCCATGCTCGGTCTCAGTTGGCGTGCCTCGCTCGTATAGTCAACATCCGTGCGAGCGTACACTGTTTACTATAGTGTTGTGACCACGAGTGTGTGCGTAAAGCATTTTTTTATTTTGTGTCCAAGTGTGGTGACTGTTCTTTAGTAACTGTACTGCAATAACCCTCCTCTCCTCTCTCTCGTCTCCCTCACACCAGCCACGATTAAATGTAATTAATACATTTGACAACTTGAAATGTAATTGAAATAATAAAAATATAAAAAGGTATTTTGTATTAATAATTTTTACATGAATATTTTTGGGTTGTGCAACGAATCATCTGAGTTTCCATTATTTCTTATGGGGAAATTCGCTTGGATATACGAGTGCCTTGGATTACGAGCACGTGTCCGGAACGAATTATGCTCGCAATGCAAGGTTTTACTGTAGTTGTACGTACGTGGCCGTGCTTGATGTGTTTCGATGATTTAACCTCCTACAAGAATCTGGCATGTCTCGTACCCCCGGTAAAGAAGCGCTGGTTTAAACGCACGTTGATTTCAAATGTGGAGGAGCAAACCAGAGAACTCAGTGGAATATCCGGACGACCACGAGGAGAGCATGTAAACTCCAAATACGCAGGTGTCGGTCGGGATTGAACCCACGACCTCCTGTATACCAGGCGAGAAGTATAACATCTCACCACCATTGTGCCCCAGTTCCAGTTAACCATTCTCTAAAAACCGGTTTAAAACCAGTTCGATTTAAATAATAGCTCAAAAGCAACAACAACAAAAAGCTCCCCTGGTGGTTATTCACACACGGCAAACCGCACACAAGCAGCCGCAGACACACGCACACTTCACACACAAGTAGGCAGCGCGTGTGTGCGTGCGTGCCCAACCATGTCCAGGCAGGCGCGTGTCTGCGCTCGCCGGAACAGCTCCAGGTCGTAGGGCGACGTCAGCCCGTCGAGGAGCGGCTCTCGGCTCATGGCGTGCGTCTGCCGGTGCTCCTGGCAAGCGGCACAGCGGGCACAGCGGGCACACGGACAGAGCCACCCAGCAGCAGCAGCAGCAACAACAATGAAAAAGTTGATTTATATAGCGCCATACAAAAGACAAAGATACCCACGATAGCCTTAACAGAACTCTTGGGGCAAGTGCCGTTAGCGAGCACCTGTGAACGACAAAACGGCACTTGAGTAAACTAAAAAAAACGAAATAATATTTCTACATTTGAAGTTTTCGTGACTGCAAGGATCCATACTCTTTGGTTTTCTCGGTCAAGTCACGTAGGTGAAAACAAAATGAAATAAAACAATTTACACCATTGGAACCTCATTTACCAATAAAAAATATGATAATTGGTTTTTTACCCTTCTATCTAGCAACAAAACTGACACCTTTTTTACAAGGAGTCATGTTTGCATAGACCACAATACCTGCAGTCATAATGCAAAAAAAAACATAACTCTGATAATGTATGCGCTGTCCTTGAAGTTGATTCAACAATCAACTTCAAGGACAGTGCATACATTATCAGGTATTATGGTCTATGCAAACATGACTCCTTGTAAAAAAAAAAAAGGTGTCAGTTTTGTTGCCAGATAGAAGGGTAAAAAACCAATCATCGAAATAAAACAACCAAATTAAATCACGACGTTTCGGAAGCAACACAAGCATCCGTGTCATCAGGTGTGACTGCTCCAGCAAAATCACTGTCGCGTATTACCAGGCAAGGCCCACTGAGCGATATCGGTGTTTGGCAGAAGTGACCAGCCCACAGACGAAAGAAGGGTGGTCATTACCACGCCCGGCCGTCTTTGTCTCCCCAGTACTGATGTTTATGCACTGCACCAGGTACTCATTTGAGGCTGAGTCGACCTAGGGAAGGCCCAGGACCGGTTCAGATAATCATCACTGGTGCTGGCCCTCAGCGGGAATCGAACTCGGGTCGCCGGCCTCGTAGCGCAGCGCGCTAACCGTTACGCGACCGCTCCCCACACAAAACACCGTTTCGACATGCGCATCATGTACATAATAATACTGGTAGGAACCCACTGGTTCCACCAGCTCACAGGGGATTATTGTGTCCGTCCGTCGTGCAGGGAGGGGCTGGGTGGGGAGGGAGGGGCTGGGTGGGGAGGGGCTGGGTGGGGAGAGTGGGGAGGGGCTGGGTGGGGAGGTGAGGGTGGGTGGGTGGGGGGTGGGAGGGGTGGGGCTGGGTGGGGAGGGGCTGGTCACCCCGTGGTGCCCTTATAAAACTCAACGTTTAACCTACTCACGCCGGCTTGAGCCCACCCTCACAGTCGGGCATATTTGCGGAATACACCACGCCGCCGTTGACCCTGGCCATTGACCGAGCAACCCAACGTTCCTACCAGCTCCCTCCGCAGGAATGTGTTAATAAGAGTACATATATACTGTACTAGAGAACAGATATGTAGTTATAAGTGGAAAACAAGAGGAAGATCTTGAGCCTGAGATTGAACACGCGCAGGGGAGGGAGTTCTCTATTGCACGGGTAGCAGGGAAGAAGCCACACGCGGACAAACTGTTGCACGGAGACAGAGAGAGACTAACAACTGTGGAGACACACAGCCGCACACACAGAGAGATGCACAGAGCAGCCGGTCGTACAGATAAGAGACAAACAATCGCACAGACAGGAGGGCGTACAGACGGACGGTCACGGAGACAGAAAAAACAGAGAAGTTTCAGTTTCATTTATTTGGTATAGCCCTGTGAGCCATTCGGCTCTTGAATCGGGTGCAACGGCAACAAACAAAAACATGAACAAGAAAGCATCTTAAAGTGACCATGTGACTATGTGCCAACAGAAAATCCAAGAAAAAACGGAAAAGTATGGAACGCTTCACGAATTTGCGTGTCATCCTTGCGCAGGGGCCATGCTGATCTTCTCCGTATCGTTCCAATTTCAGTAGATGTACTGCCGGAAAGCCTGACAAGCCGATTGACAGAGAGACATTGCGACAGATGCCAGACATGCAGGCAGACGGATGGACAGACAGTCGCAGTGATAAGAAAAAATGGTCGGAGACATCCACAGGACAAACGACAGCAAAGATAAACGGGGAGACAAAGGCGGCGGCGGGCTGACGACATGCCAGCTGTGCCACAGCGCGGCCGCGCTGTAAGGGAGCCTCCTAGTGAACCCGGAACAAACAGGAGGGAAAAACGAATCCACTCACAATGTACTTCTGTTTCTGCTCCTCTGTTGGGCCCGCGTTCCGATTCTTGCGCAGCTCGGTGACCTTTTCTCGATAGCGCAGCTGTTTCTCTGTCGGGCCCTGCACATCGCGATCAAAGAAGACAAAAGATTCCAACCCCGCCCCCCCAGAGGTCGCAACCGGGTACCCGATACCCGTACCCTACCCGATACCCGGCTAACCGTACCCGGCCGGGTACGGGTACCCGTTTGCGACCCTGGTGCGGCCGGGTACGGGTAGGTCGTGAGTCACTGGTGAGTCACCGTTTGTCACTCATTTCCCAACACCTTGTCTCTTCTCACAATTCAAGTTCCTAGAATGAACCCACCCGCGCCTGCAACATGGCTTCATCCCAGAGGTCGCAATCGGGTACCCGTACCCATACCCTACCCGATACCCGGCCGGGTACGGGTAGCCGGGTATCGGGTAGGGTACGGGTACCCGTTTGCAACCCTGGTGCGGCCGGGTACGGGTAAGGAATCAAAACCCGTTTGCGACCTCTGCGCCCCCTCCCCATCGCCTCAACGAGACTTTTGCGGCAAGTGCTGTTGGCAAGTAGCAGCACCTATAAAGGCCGGGCATGGCACACGAAGCGGGTGGTGGTAGGGGGTGGCCAGCACAACGCCCGGCTGCCTTTGTCTCCCCAGTAGCGATGTTTTGGATACTGCACCGGGTACTCAATTGAAGCTGAGTCGACCTAAGAAAATGCTCAGGACCGGTTCAAATAATTTGGTGTTGGGAGTGAGTGGGGATCAAACTCGGATCGCCGGGTTTGTAGCGCGGCGCGCAAACCACAGTGCCTTCCACATTACATGAGCGGACCCACAACACACACTGCACACAGACACAAGCACACACAAGCACACAGACAGGCACATACATGCACAGAAACACATACAAGCATACACACACATATAAGCACACAATGCACATAGACAAACACACACAAACAGAAACCCACACACACAAAGACAAGCACACAACAAAGACAAAGATCCCCCTATAGCCTTAACAGACTGTAGGGGCAAGTGCTGTTAGCGAGCACTTATGAAGGCCGGAACGGTACACGAGGGGGTGGGTGGCCAGTACCACGCCCGACCGCCTTTGTCTCCCCAGTGGTGATGTTTACACATCGCACCAGGTACTCATTTGAGGCTGAGTCGACCTAGGGGAGGCCCAGGACCGGTTCAGATAATCGTCACTGGTGTTGGCCCTGAGCGGGAATCGAACCCGGGTGGCCGGGTTAATAGCGCAGCGCGCTAACCGCTACACCACCACTCCCCCCCCACTAGCACACAACAGACACACAGTAACAAGACAAAGATCCCCCATATAGTCTAACATACTTTTGGGGAAAGTGCTGTTAGCGAGTAGCACCTATAAAGGCCGGCACTTTGGCACACGAGGGGGTGGGTGGATAGCACCACACCCGGGCGCGCGCACACACACACACGCGCACGCACACACACACACGCTTATTCACAAACTCACACGAAAACATTGACCTCAGCTTGGTTTTAAAGGACTTGCTGGGACACGTGCTGTCAGCGAGCAACTATTAGAGCCAGTAAGTCGAGCAGCTTCGTTACAGAAATGCCAAATAAGTCGCGCATGTTATACCGAAGCAACTATTCAGATGTTCAAGGCATTCCAAGCTGCGTGAATAAATAATATTAACTTTGTTGAGCTATCATTTGTGGCCAGGTCGCTTCTGGAAAATACATTAATGCCTCAGTAGGCTTTGCCTGGAAGGATGCGGATGGTTTAGTTGTTTGTGTGTTGGGTGATTTGTGGCCGAAACGTCGTGAGAATTGTATTTTAGTCTGTTTGATTTTTATTATTTTATTATTTTCCTTCTACGTGACTTTACCGAAAGAACCAAGAAGATTATTTACCTTTCTTGTACTCTGCACTACAATCGTGTTTTTGTACTGCTTGTTGTTGTTGTGACGTTCTTACCCTGTGCCCCTACTGAACATGTTAAAAAATTAACCCGTAAAAACAAAGTTTTTCACTATAAATCCTTTATATGCGTGTTCAATGGGCCACAACCCAGCCCACATTGGTCTTTGAAACGGGCGGCAAGAGTCCTCTCGTCCTCTGGCTTGAGGTGACTGCCACCTATGGGTCAGATGATTGCCTGCCACCATTAAGCAATTGGTAATTAAATATAATAAAAAAAATTTACCTAAAAAGTGTAAAATTTTGGGAAAAAAATTTTCACGAAAAGAAATTGTCACGCACAACGAGTCTGTGTGCAAAATGTCAGCTCGATTGGATCACGGGAAGTGGGTTAAAAAACGACCGAAAGATTTGCACGGTCGTAAGCGCGCAAGCAAGCAAGCGAACTTAATATAAAGGATTTAAATAAAACACGACCGAAAGATTTGCACGGTCGTAAGCGCGCAAGCAAGTGAACTTAATATAAAGGATTTAAAAAAAGAGCTTTATAGCTCATCAGATTCCTCCTGCAGTATAAATAAATCTTCTGATTCTGAACTGACTTGAGAGCGGTACATTTGTCAACCACATTAATCAGCGGTTCAAACACTGGCGCATGCTGGCTGGCCACAGCATGCTGGCCACGTGTTGACACGTGGTGTGTGCAGACGTGGGGACCCCGCGCGTGGCATCGTGACGTAACAGGGCTTTAAACTGTTCCAGGTTTGCCTCTGTTAGGGCTTCCTGTTGGATGACTGCTGCCATCTGCTGGCTCCGAAGATGCTGCACAGAAACCAGAGGGCTTGAGCCTAGACTTGAACCAGCTGCGAGGGGTTGGAAGCACGGACGGCTGGGGGTTAGGAGTTCCAGACTGTGGGGGGGGCAGCAGCAGGGGAGAATGAGCGACTTCCCACCGAGCAAAGGATGACTGGAGGCTTCCATGGAAAGCCTTCGCTGTCGGAGCGGAAGGAGTGCGTGGAGGGGGGTAGTGCAATGATAGAGAGGTAGGAGAGTGCACGGAGTGGAGTAGTGATGAGAAGGGAGAGCTAGGAGAGTGCGTGGAGGGGGGTTAGAGTGCGATGATATAGGTGAGCCCGCCACCACCCGACACAGCCAATTAGTAAGATTTGTCACGTAAACAGAACGTGGCCAATTTGTCATTAGTACAGCACTAAGCGGTGTGTTGGAGACCAAAGGCACAACATTTACAATCTGAGTACGACGTTTTGCCAGTAATCACAGCTAGCTTCATCAGGCGACGGCCGGATTTGTTGAGAAATCCTCCTGTTTTGTTCCTTAAAAAGAGGGGTGGATGTGATGACATCACTTGTGTGCTCTTCTATCTAAGCAATCCAACCCCAAAAAAACCTGTATTATGGATGATATTGGTCGCGAAAGCCTACGTGCTAAACTGACATAGGAGGGGGGTAGGAGCATGCACGGAGTGGAGTAGTGATGAGAGAGAGGGGGGAGGAGGTAGGAGAGTGCGCGGATAGGGGTGGGTAGAGTGTGATGATATAGGAGAGGTAGGAGAGTGCAAGAACTGGAGTGGTGATGAGAGGGGAGAGGTAGGAGCGTGCTCGGAGTGGGGTAGTGATGAGAAGGGGGAGGTAGGAGAGCGCGTGGATGGGGGGGGGGGGGTAGAGTGTGATGATACAGGAGAGGTAGGAGCGTGCACGGAGTGGAGGAGGGATGAGAGAGAGGGGGGAGGTAGGATAATGCGCAGATGAGGGTACGAAAGAGTAAAAGATGACGGTGACGATGACGACGGAGCAACGAACGCCGCGAGCCCGCGGGGTGGGGGGGGAAGGGGGCCGTGAACTCACTCCGTGCCGGGTCGTGTGTCGATTCTCGTCCTGCTGATCGGCCAGCTCCTGCTCCGCCAGCTCCTTCTCGTACCGCCCTGCTCGCAACTGACGGCACGAGTCACACGCCCACCAACAACCCCCCCCCCACAACGGTCAAAGGCGCGCAAACGCGACGTTCGTTCGAGAAGTAACATTTAGTCTCCATCCGCCCGCGCTAAGGGGAGGGGGTCGGCAAATCTGTGGCGCCTCTTCAAGGAACCGTCGTCGGGACGTTACTTATTTAAGGACCACCGTCCCGTACTCGCGCGCACTGCGGATCTTGAAATATTAAAATTTTTGTTACCGAATACCAAAGGAAAAACGGCTCTCATGGTTCTTTGATTGCCGAGCCCTGGCCCGTGGGATATCCTCCACATTTCGTGTTTACCGGGAAGCATTTGCCGAGTTAACAAGGCAACCCTGGGCTTGCTTTCGACTTCACCGAGGAACATCGGCATGAGGCAAGTCGGCTGCGGGAGCGTACGCCGAGACAACGCGTGGCAGCATCCTCCCTCTGGCGCCAACCCAAGGGGTCCCTCTCAAAGCCCCCTAGCGAAGCCCCCCCCCCTTCCGATGGGGTCCCTGCCGGCGGAGCCCCCGAGCGAGCCCCCCTTCCTAGGCGTCCCTCGGAGCCCCACACCCCCTGGCAACCACAATCCCTGTGGCCGGCCCCTCGGCCTCCTCCTCCTCGTCCACCCATGAGGTTGTTTAGCTCGGGGAAGAGGATGGGGAAGGGGGGGAATTCGGTCGGCAGGACGAACCAGGTGCAGGCGAGGAGCTGCACCTGGTTTCTAAATGTGGGGGGGAAAAAAACAAGAGGACCTGGAGGGAAAAAAAAAATCCACGCGACCACGGGAAGAGAGAGAGAGACACGCAAACTCCAAATATACAGCAGGTGTCAGGGTCGGGATCGAACCCACGACTTCCTGTATACCAGGCGAGGTAGTTAACATCTCCTAGCCCCCATGGCAGGCAAACCAAACGAAATAAACAGTGGTGGAGGGCGCCGTTGTCGAGAGGACAGGCCGCTTACCCTGCACTCCTCGGCGGTCATGTTGTGGTAGAGGGGGCAGGCGACGGTTGAGAAATGCCGCTCGGACTTCCCCGCGAGGTGACCTGGCAGGGCGCGGCACCACAGCGAGTAAAAAGTTCACACAAATCGCGAAGATTTTTTTCGAAGGGTGCGTTCCGCACTCAAAAACGCCGCACTTCACCGTGATGACCAGGCGACGTTCCCCGAGTGCAGGGTGCACGAGCGAGTTTGTTTTGTTTTCACGTGTGCATCGGTTATTTGGAGCGGGTCCTGCCTTTTTCGAGAGCATTCTGCAATTGTTTTTGTTTTTATTGAAGCATTCCATCACGACCGCTGCCACAGCTGTGGTCGGCATGACCTAGGAAAGCCAAACTAAGTTGTAAAAAAGTGGATCTATGCAACACATCTGAGCCGAGAACAACACAACCCAGAAAAACACCCCTCGCCACTCACACAAGGGACTCCCAAAACCCTCGCCCCCTCCCTCCTCACCCCTTACCTTGTCACGCCCTCAACCCCTCAACACCACTCGTCCTCTCAGCCCTCACCACTCGCCGCTCACCCTCTAACTCCCTCGCCCTCCCGCCACTCACCGAGAGAGTCGCATCCCGGCGTTGGACAGCTGGCGCGGGGAACGCGGGTCGAACCCACGGCTGCATCTCCGCCGCCGCCGCCGCCGCCGTCAGGCTTGGCGTTCCCGTCCGCCATCCCGTCCTCTCCGCTCTGCCGCTGGTGGCCCTGCCGGCGCGCTCGCTTGCGGGGCGGCGGCCCGCGCCGTCGTCGTCTTGACGGCGGCAGCAGCGTTGACGGCGGCGGCGGCGGTGGCCGAGGAGGAGGAAGACGAGGAGGAACCGGCGGCCTTTCCCGCGCCGCCGGCAGCGGAGCCGGCGCCGGCCCCGCCGCTGGTGGCGGTGGTGCCGCCGCGCTCGCTGCCGGAGTCGGGGTCGCGGTCTCCGCTGGCGGCGCGCGACGCCGGCCGCTCGACACGTCCAGCTCCGAGTCGGAAGACGGGGCGTTCCCCGTGGGGGTGCGCGGGGGAGACTCGTCTACGGGGGGGAGAGACGGGGGGGGAGAGACGCGGGGGGAGAGACGCGGCTTTGTGAAGGCGGGGAGCACGGATGTGAGAGCACGCGAGCACAGTCCGCCGCACTGCCCTCCGCTGCCTTCTAAACGCGACTGCATCACGACAAGAGCGGGCTGTGGGGTGTTGAGATTGCGAGGGGGATGATGATAATTAAAAAAAAAACGAGGGGACTTGTGAAAGGGGAAGTGGCAAAGCGATGGGGAATCAGGTGCGGGGTTGGGATAATAAATCATTAACTCTTCACGCAGGCTGCATAACGCGTTTGGATGACTTTGCGAGTGCTTTTGCCCTGTGTGAACGTTTGTGTCTCTTGCGCGGTTGTTCGGCGCGAGCCGTTTGCCCGATGTGCACTCGTGCAAGTGGTGTAACGTCTCCCCGAGAGCACGAGCTCGCGAGCGAGTGTGCGTGTTTGTGTGTTTACGTGTCGGCGCACGTGTTTTTGCTGACTGTCCGCGTGAGCGCCAGCGTTGTGCATGATTGAGCACACGTTTCTTGAGCGTGGTTTGGGTGTGGCCGTGTGTTTCTGTGTCGCACGTGTATGTATCATGCATTTCGACTGCAGGTATTGTGGTCAATGCAAACATGACACCTTGTAAAAAAGGTGTCAGTTTTGTTGCCAGATAAAAGGGTAAAAAAACAATTATCATATTTTGCTACTGGCAAATGAGGTTCCAATGATGTGTTGTGCACGTCCGCTTGTGTATTTGTGTTGCATGCTTGTGCATGTGTTGGCACAGTAGGGGGCACAGGTGGTGCAATCTGCCAGTCGTCTCAGTCAGTCAACCCAAGGCACCTGGGTCTGTCCCGTGCCTTCCTGTAAGCAAGCCGTTGACACTTCACGTGGCCTCAAAGTGCTTCTAGCCTAGCACAGGTGCCGTGGTGATGTCGCCGTTGTTGTATTTGTATGTTGTTCTATTTGTATGTATGGAGGAAGCTCATAAAGGATGCTACTACTGGGCGGTTGAAGGCAGTCACCCTCCAACAACAGCAGAGGGCGGAGGAGCAAAGCTCACATCAAATCTGCTGGTCATCTCAGTCAGAATCAGAACATTTATTATACTGGAGGAATCCTATCTACACCATTGGAACCTCCTTTGCCAGTAGCAAAATATGATAATTGTTTTTTTACCCTTTTATCTGGCAATACAACTGACTACAATACCTGCGGTCGGAATGTGCCTTTTGGCGTCATCTGGTCCAACAAAATGTGAGACTGGGGTCTAAGAAAAGCTGTCTTGAGTGTGGACCAATCAATTTTAAGGACAGTGCATACATTATCAGAGTTATGTTTTTGTTTGCAGTCCGACCGCAGGTATTGTGGTCAATGCAAACATGACTCCTTGTAAAACAAAAAGGTGTCAGTTATGTTGCCAGATAAAAAGTTAAAAAAACAATTATCGAATCCTATCTAATAAATAAAAGTGAATGTCTGTCTGTCTCTCTGTCTGTGTGTGTCTGCCCGCTTGCAAGCTATAAAGCTCTTTTTCACAGATTAACCTCATGGCGGGACCCCGGGGGGTCCCACAAGCCCCCGGCTCTCGCACAAACTGCGTTGCGACGTCATTTTATGTCCGTTTAAGGCGAACGCTGAGGTAATCGATTCCTCTCGACCAGCGCTACACGATGCGCTAATCGAAGTTTCAAAGTTTTGTTTGTGACTACGGCAACTTTGGCAACGACGAGCGCTTGGTGAAGAACGAGAGGATTGGTTTCTGGCGGGTCGCGGCGTTTACGTGCGCGGTGGGACGGAGTCGCCAAAAATAACTAAATTAATTACGATTTTGACTTGCGTTTATTCGGAACCCCGGGGTCTCCGCCCTAAGGTTCAGATGTCCAGTCGGTCAACCCATGGCACCTGGGTCAGTCCCATCAACAGCGAGCCTTCAACACTTCACGTGGCCTCAAAGTGCACCTAGCCAGGTGCAGGCGCCGCGGTGACATCACCGCCACTTTGTGTGGAATGGTGGCTGTTGTCGCTGTCATCATCGTCGTCCGTGCGTGCGTCCGTGCGTGCGTCCGTGCGTGCGCGTGTACGAGTTCGCACCGCGGTCGGCGTGCTCCGTGGCCGTGAGCTCCGACTCGGAGCCGGAGGAGCGCACGCGCCGTAGGCCGCCCGTCGCACGGGCGCCGTCGGTGAGGCCCGCGGTGCCGGAGGTGCCGGCGAGCCGGCGCAGGGGGACGCCGTGGCCCCCCCTGCTCCTCGTCGGGTACGGCGCCGGTTCCCACCCCGCTGCTCGCCCCAGCGGCCACACACACGCACACACGCGCACACACACACACGCACACACACACACACGCACACACGCACGCACACACGCGCGCACACACACACGCGCACGCGCACACAAGCACACACACACGCACACACGCACACACACACGCACGCACACGCACGCACACACACGTGCACACACACACGCGCACACGCACACAAGCACACACACACGCACACACGCACACACACATGCACACAAGCACACACACACGCACACACACGCATGAGATGGCACAGAGACGGGCAAGCGAGAGTCGATGTGAAGAAACACAACTGACCCCACTTAACCCCCCCGCTCTCCCCAGGTGTCCCCTTAGTGTGCTGGTTATTCTTCTCCTCCCACTCCCAGTCTCTGCCCCTCCCCCCCCCTTCGCCCCCCCCCCCCCCCACGCGGTTGGGGCAGCGGGGCCCCCCACTCCCCCTTCGTTCCGCACCTTTCACGCGGTTTCGCCGCGCCGCGATGGATGCTCGCGGATGTTTTTACATTTCCTGTTGTTAGAACCCCTCTGTCTGGCTTACCGCGCCCGCATGTTGTTGCAACAAAAATAGACACAAATTAGTTTTTAAAGAAACGCAACCGAGGGTTACCCTGTCCGATCGTATTATCGACCACGGGCTCACATTCCCGTCACCCGTTCATGATGTTATTAACAACGTTTTTACTAATATATTTCACGAACGCTTTCTGGTGTAACCAGGAGGTTTGTACCAGTATAATGCATTCGTTGAGGAACCCTGGTGCGAGGTTTGACTCGACACTCGACATTAGCAGCGGTGTGACGGGGATGCTGGCGACGCGTGTCGTCAGACCGCATGAGAGCGACGGGGAGAAAATCTTGCCAACAAGATATTGATCCGCAGAATCTACAAGCGGACCACGCACGACTCGTCAACGCAGAGATGAGAATCTTAGCGGCATCAAACCGCGTACAGCCGAAACATCACCCCCGTGTGCCGGAAGACATACTTCTTAACAAGCAAGCCGTGCACAGTTGAAACACACGTTCTATAAAACATCATTGGGCGAGCTGCGACTGCAATGACTCCAAAAAGCTGAACCACGGACAAAAGCCATCGATGCCGCCGCCGCCGCCGCCACCGCCGCCCCTCCCCAACGCTTTCTACCCTCCGCCAGATGCCGCAGCCGCTGCACAGCAGACACGGGACCTCCCCTACACCACGCCGGAACAGTTCCTCCAAGCGGCGGACATTCACAATGGTTCATATTCTTAGGTTTTTTCGGTAAAGCCACATACCTACGTGACTTTACCTACGTGACTTTACCGAAAAAACCTAAGAATATGAATCCTTGCAGTCACAAAAGCTTCAAATCTAGAATTCGCAATGGTACTGCTGGCGTCAGTGCTGCTGCTTTACCTTCTCCCGGTGCGGCGCTGGTGGCGTTGCCGGTTGTGTTGGCGCTGTTGTTGGCGCTGGCGGCAGCGGCGGCGGCGGCGGCCTGGGCTCGCGTGGAGCCGCGGGTTGAGCGCGCGAGCCTCCCCGACCGCCGCGGGCCTTGCCCGCCGGAGCTGCTCTCATCGCTCCCCTCCCCGGCCGAGTCCGTGGCCTCGGAGGCCAGCACCTCCATCTCCACCTCGTCGTCTTCCTCGTCCTCCTCCTCCTCCTCTTCCTCCTCCTCTTCGTCCTCCTCGTCCTCCTCGTCCCCCTCCGAGCTGCTGACGTGGCTCAGCTGACGTGAGCAGAGGGGGAGGAAATGAGAGTAAACATCTCCGCGCGAGATTACTCGATATTAGTCATTACAGGAGTCCATCGGTTTAAACAGCGACATCGGTTAAGTATGATAATTGTTTTTTTTTACCTTCTATCTGGCAACAAAACTCACACCTTTTTAACAAGGAGTCATGTTTGCATTGACCACAATACCTGCGGTCAGAATGCAAAGAAAACACAACTCTGATAATGTATGTGCAGTCCTTGAAATTGATTGGTCCACACCCGAGACAGCTTTTCTTAGAGCCTAGTCTCACATGGTGTTGGACCAGATGACCTCGTGGTGCCCTTATAAAACTCAACGTTTAACCTACTCACGCCGGCTTGTGCCCGCCCTCACAGTTGGGCATATTTGCGGAATACACCACGCCGCCGTTGACCCTGGCCATTGACCAAGCAACCCAACGTTCCAACCAGCTCCCTCCGCAGGAATGTGTTAAGACAGAACAAGTAAGTTATTTAATAGCCGTTGAACCATTCACATTCAATGGGGTTAAATCCCTGTTGTCAGCGCTCCGCTAATTACTAAACTATTTACTATTTTTTTTACTTTACCAGGTAAGGCCGAACATGAGCTATCTACGTAGATATTTTTCAGAAGCGACCTGGCCACAAATGGAAGCTTAACCAAGTGGGCTCATCACGATGTGGAAATGTACAAACAGCAACATACTCCAAACGCGTGGTGGTGATTCTATACGTGGAGGGACAAACCGGGGGAGACCCGTGAAAAATCCACACGATCACGGGGAGAGAGACACGCAAACTCCACATATACAGCAGGCGTCAGATTCGTGATCGAACCCACGACCTCCTGTATACCAGGCGAGGTAGTTAACATCTCCTAGCTACCATGATGATGATGATGAGAGACACGCAAACTCCACATCTCCAGCAGCAGAAGCAGGCGTCAGGGTCGAAATCGAACCCACTACCTCCTGTACACCAGGCGAGGTAGTTAACATCTCCTAGCCACCGTGATAATGATGATGATGAGAGAGAGAGACACGCAAACTCCACATACACAGCAGCAGGCGTCAGGGTCGGGATCGAGCCCACGACCTGCTGTATACCAGGAGAGGTTGTTAACATCTCCTAGCCACCGTGATGATGATGATGAGAGAGACACGCAAACTCCACATACACAGCAGCCGTCAGGGTCGGGATCGAACTCACGACTTCCTGTACACCAGGCGAGGTAGTTAACATCTCCTAGCCATCATGATGATGATGATGAGAGAGAGACACGCAAACTCCACATATACAGCAGCAGGCGTCAGGGTCGAAATCGAACCCACGACCTCCTGTACACCAGGCGAGGTAGTTAACATCTCCTAGCCACCGTGATAATGATGATGATGAGAGAGAGACACGCAAACTCCACATACACAGCAGCAGGCGTCAGGGTCGGGATCGAGCCCACGACCTGCTGTATACCAGGAGAGGTTGTTAACATCTCCTAGCCACCGTGATGATGATGAGAGAGACACGCAAACTCCACATACACAGCAGCCGTCAGGGTCGGGATCGAACTCACGACTTCCTGTACACCAGGCGAGGTAGTTAACATCTCCTAGCCATCATGATGATGATGATGAGAGAGAGACACGCAAACTCCACATATACAGCAGCAGGCGTCAGAGTCGTGATCGAACCCACGACCTCCTGTATACCAGGAGAGGTAGTTAACATCTCCTAGCCACCGTGATGATGACGAGAAACACGCAAACTCCACATATACAGCAGCAGGCATTAGGATCGTGATTGAACCCACGGCCTCCTGTATACCAGGCGAGGTAGTTAACATCTCTGTGAATGATGACTGCATCTACGACTGTGATTGACAACCTATGCCTGTGAATGATGACTGTAAGATTGTGAATGATTATATCTACTGTGTGAATAACTCTACAACTGTGACTCTCCACGACTCTCCGTGCCTCTCTATGACTCTGAGTGACTCTCTGTGACTCTTTGTGACTCTCCGCGACTCTCTATGATTGTGACTCTCTGTGACTCTCCACGACTCTCCGCGACTCTCTATGACTCTGAGTGACTCTCTATGACTCTCTATGATTGTGAGTGACTCTCTGTGACTCTCTATGATTGTGAGTGACTCTCTGTGACTCTCTACGACTATCTGTGACTCTCTGTGATTGTGAGTGACTCTCTGTGACTCTATGATTGTGAGTGACTCTCTGCGACTCTCTATGATTGTGAGTGACTCTCTGTGACTCTATGATTGTGAGTGACTCTCTGTGACTCTCTACGACTATCTGTGACTCTCTATGATTGTGAGTGACTCTCTGTGACTCTCCGCGACTCTGTGACTCTCTGTGATTATGAGTGACTCTATAACTCTCCACGACTCTCTATGATTGTGAGTGACTCTCTGTGACTCTCTATGATTGTGAGTGACTCTCTGTGACTCTCTATGATTGTGAGTGACTCTCTGTGACTCTCTATGATTGTGAGTGACTCTCTGTGACTCTCTATGATTGTGAGTGACTCTCTATGATTGAGTGACTCTCTGTGACTCTCTATGATTGTGAGTGACTCTCTACGACTCTCTATGATTGCGAGTGACTCTGTGACTCTCTATGATTGTGAGTGACTCTCTGTGACTCTGAGTGACTCTCTGTGACTCTGAGTGACTCTCTGCGACTCTGAGTGACTCTCTGCGACTCTCTGTGACTCTGAGTGACTCTCTGCGACTCTGAGTGACTCTCTTCGACTCTCTGTGACTCTGAGTGACTCTCTGTGACTCTCTATGATTGTGAGTGACTCTCTGCAACTCTCTATGATTGTGAGTGACTCTCTGTGACTCTCTGTGACTCTCTATGATTGTGAGTGACTCTCTATGATTGTGAGTGACTCTGAGTGACTCTGAGTGACTCTCTACGACTCTCTGCGACTGCCGTCACTACAAGGTGCACGGGGGGGGAGGAGACGGAGGCCTGGAGCGCCGCGTCAGCCGCTCCCGCGGTACCACAAACTTCACCGTCAGGACGCAGCGTTCCACCTTCCTGCGAGGCATTCCTCTTCAGCTCGCGGCGCCTTCGATCGGCAGCAACAACAATTTCTAAAAAAAATCGATAAACTCCCGATAAACTAATTAATCGAGGGCGAGCAATTAACGTCAATGTTGTTTATTGGCGGCAACGCCACTGGGATACAAAAAATGAGCTCCCACGGCCACCGTCCGTTACGTCGACCCGGGGGGGTACTAACGGGGCACGCGATTGGTCAGTCGGAGGTCACGTGAGTTGTTCTGAACCAATGGCAAGGCGCGCTCGGCCGGAGAGTCGCGAACGGCCACCGTACACGCCGCTGATGGCGCGCGACGTCGACAGAAACGCGATTCGTAATAACTCGCGAGCTTCGTGTTTGTGTTTTGTAGCGCGTAATGAATTTTAAAAGAAGAATATTTTTGGTTTTTATTCGATATGAAATGTTTAGCAAATAAAAAAAATATAAGCTTTCGTAAAACTTTGTGATCGCAATAAAAAAGACGTTACATAATATTTATTGAAATGCCATATGGGCCCAATAATCATTTGGCTGCGATCAATGTCCACGTGAAAAGCCACTTCGTTGAGCTATCGATTGTGACGGCCAGGGCGCTTCGGAAAAAATAACGAATAGCTCAGTCGACTTGACCTGGTAAAACAAAATAGATTTATCGTTTCGTTTTATCTTAATTTTTTTTGTAACATGCTTACCTCACCTATACTTTGCATTCCTATCGGGTTTTTTTATTATTTGTTGTAACGTTCTGATCCTACCCTGCTGGACCTCTGTGCAAAAGAGCTTTATAGCTCATAGGATTTCTCGAGGATAAATAAAACAAATTCTGATTTAAAAACGCGTCCTGAGAGCATTATGCAAATGTATGGCTCCCATTGGCCTCAACGATCACGGGTTTTACCCATAATGCAATGTGCCCATCAGCATGATATGATTCACCCTTAATACACAAATTAATTTACTTCGTATTTGTCTTGTCACTGAATAATAGCTACGAATAATGCAACTATGCGTATGCCAATTAAATACACATGCTCGTCGGTAAATATTTCTTATAAATGTCATTCTCATCCGGCCCCCATAGTGTAAATGTTTGGTCTCCCAACTCTTATTATTCCCATGAATCCATGATGTCTTTATAGTGGTAGGAACCTCCTGGTTAGACCAGCCCACAGGGGATTATTGTACCTGTCCGTCCGTCCGTCGTGCATCCAAAAATGGGAGGAGTGGGGCTGGGTGGAGAGGGGAGGGTGGGGAAGGGCTGGTCACCCCGTGGTGCCCTTATAAAACTCAACGTTTAACCTACTCACGCCGGCTTGTGCCCGCCCTCACAGTCGGCCATATTTGCGGAATACACCACGCCGCCGTTGACCCTGCAGGCCATTATCAGTAGGGTAACCACGGCCACCACAGAAGATAATTTTTATCGTGGGTTTTTTGCTTTTATTATTTTAAATGTATTATTTTTCATTTTTATTAATTTCGTTTATTCTTTTTTACTTATATTTTTTTGTTTTTTATTTACATGACTTTACCGAAAGCACGAATAATATGAATTCCTGCAGTCACGAAAGTTTTAAGTTGGAAGATAATCCCTTTCATTTTTTTTGTGTCGACATTTAAACCTCGCAGCTGCTACTTGAACTGCTACACAATCACATTGGCGATGCTGCTGCTACTTTAACTGCTGCACAATCACATCGGCGATGCTGCTGCTGCTACTTTAACTGCTGCACAATCACATCGGCGATGCTGCTGCTACGGTAGCAGCGGTGCCTGCGCAAGCAACAATCTACAAGCAATGCCAACAAAAACGTGGACACGTTTTTCTTATGATTGCGAACTTTAAATTAAATTTAGAGAACAGGCGACGTTTCGGGCAATGACCCGTCTTAGCGTGTTTGTGTTTTTTTGGGGTGTGTCATGTAGCCCGCATGCCCAGCCACACATTAAACACATTCCTGCGGAGGGAGCTGGTAGTAACGTTGGGTTGCTCGGTCAATGGCCAGGGTCAACGGCGGCGTGGTGTATTCCGCAAATATGCCCGACTGTGAGGGCGGGCACAAGCCGGCGTGAGTAGGTTAAACGTTGAGTTTTATAAGGGCACCACGGGGTGACCAGCCCCTCTCCACCCTCCCCACACAGCCCCTCCCCACCCTCCCCACCCAGCCCCTCCCCACCCAGCCCCTGCCTGCACGACGGACGGACACAAGACACAAGACTCCCCTGTGGGCTGGTGTAACCAGGAGATTCCTACCAGTATAAATCGTCTCACCGTGCCCCCAGGGACCTGTGTTGAGAGCCACTGCTTTAGTTACGGCATTGTCAACCCACCTACACAACGACACAGTAGGGGGCACAGGTGGTCCATCGGTGATTCATCAGGGTCAGTCGACCCGTGGCAGCACCTCGATCTGCCCCGTGACCTCCTGCCAGCGGGCCTTCGACACATTCACGTGGCCTCAACAAACACAGACATAATTTCAACCGTGATGACGGTTACAAACTGAGTAATCATTGGAAAGATGTGATTAACCATGCAAAAAAGATTTAACTACACTTATTTGCCAATCTTATTTGACAGACAACCATCACAGTTTTACCATGTTTAGTGGTGGTCTCCCTGTCACAGGTTGAGTCACAAACCGCACCTCTCCATAACAAAGGCTCAGCCTTTGTTATGCAGTCTATTCTTAGTCTTAAGCCTCACCTTACCATATTAATAATAAGTATGCGGCCCTTGCCCCACCACCTTCTCCAACCATTATATAAACGGAGTGGTAGCTCCTGCAATCTCTCATTTACTTGATACAGCTGTCGTGGCTGTGACGGTACCACCTGAAGACGGAAGCTTGTGTTGCCTCCGAAACGTGATTTTTATTTTATTTTACTTTTTAATGTTTTTACCTACGTGACTTTACCGAAAAAGCCTAAGAATATAGAGAGAGAATTTACCTGTGTGTGAGTGTGTGGACTGTCAACCTATGGTACCTGGGTCTGCCCCGTGAGCTCCTGCCAGCGGGCGTTCGACACTTCCACGTGGCCTCAACGTGCACCTAGCCTGGCACGAGCGCCGTGGTGATGCCACCGACACTTAGTGGTTGAATGGCGGTTGTTGTTGTGTAGGTAGGATGATGCTGCCGTAATTAAACCAGTGGGTCTCAACACAGAGCCCTGGGGGAACGGTGACACGATTTATAAATGCGTGAAATTATAACACGTGCGAGAGATTTACACTATGAGACATCTCCTTTACCAGTGGCAAAATATAGTAATAGGGTTTTACCCTTTCAACTGGTACAAAAACTGACACCTTTATACAAGGGATCATGTTTGCAATAACCGCAACACAAGCCGTCAAAATGCAAACAAAAAGAAACAACTCTCATAATAATATGCACTGTCCTTGAAGTTGATTGGTCCACACCTGAGACAGCTTTTCTTAGAGCCTAGTCTCACATGGTGTTGGACCAGATGACGCCAAAAGGCGTACGATCCCTTGTATAAAGGTGTCAGTTTTTGTACCAGTTGAAAGGGTAAAAACCTATTACTACATGTGAGAGAGTCATTGGTGAACAATCACGTACGGTGTGAATCTGCCAATATAAAATAACGACGATAACATTAAAGTCATACGGTAACCTAGAACGGAATTAAACAGACAAACTACAAATATACAGAAGGCGTTATAGGGTCGGGATCGAACCCACGTCCTCCTGCATAACAGGCGAGGTAGTTAACATCTCCTAGCCACCGTGATGATGATGATAATAGAGAGACACGCAAACTACCAATATACAGCAGGCGTCAGGGTCGGGATCGAACCCACAACCTCCTGCATACCAGGCGAGGTAGTTAACATCTCGCCATCGAGGCACCACGCCCATATTTAAGCGTGTACCTGAATGACAGCCTCTTCATTTTGTGTATGCCATGAAGGTTTGATTGACCGTACTTCACCAAACTGGTCAGTGTGAGTTGGTCAATAGTGGAGTTCCATGACTGGTGCGGATGCCGTTCAACGTGGCCGGGTTCAAAACTCAGCGCCCCAACCGCTGCGCCACCGCTCCCACCTCGCTCTACCGCTTATGATTCGAGAAAAGTTAAAATCAACATTTTGATCAACTGCACAGTTTTTATATATTGACGCTGCACGTGTTAAGGTACGCGCTCAGCAGCAACATATCGACGCTGTGAACACTTGGCAGGACCCTCCTAAAAGAGATTTGTTGGCCCAAAAAGCGTAATAATATTTTAGTTTAAATAGTAACACATGCATTGCGTGCATGTGTGGCAAACGTGTCAGGACTGTTCCATCCGTCTTGGCCCCGTGGGGGGGGGGGGGGGGGGGTGTTGTGGTTGTGCCCCCCCCTGCCCCCCCCCCCCCGTGTAATGGACTCGCCCGCTCCAAGAGAAGCGATGTGGAGACGTGGCACCACGAGGGGAGGAGAGCAGGGGAGCAGGGACACGCAGGAGCGCCAGGAGAGATGGAGCAAGAGAGAGGAACAATCGAGGTGGACCGTCGGGAGGCTGAGAAGAGAGGAACAACATTCGGAGCAGGGGAGGGGGAGAACGGGAGGAGAAGGATCGGAGTCAGACTCTTTATTGAGACTGGAAGAATCCGATGAGCGGTGAAGCTCTTTTATTTCAGATGTCCAGTATGGGCGGGTCAGCAATTTGCGACAGCAATCATTACACAAAAAAGCGATCGGAGCGCAAAATAACGAGAGAGAGAAAAAAAACGTTTAACAAGACACTCAATACCAATGCGTAATTCGTGAATAACAGGAGGGGGAATCAGGAGGAGTAACACAGAACAATAGAATAGGAACGAGAACGAGAGGAACAGGGGGGGAACAATGGTAACGGAACGGCGGAGGTGGGGCAATGGAGGAGAACAGAGAGACACGGACCGGGGTAAGGAACAACCGAGGTGGAATCGCAGGAGGAGGTGGAACACGGGGAGAGAGCGCAAGGGATGGAGAGATCAGTAACACGAGGAGGAACGTCAGGCGGAGAGAAACATGAGTGTAGCGAACATTGGAGGAGGATGAGGAACAGAAATAACGATATATATCAGCGGCGGTAGAGCATCAGGAGGGCGAACATCCGGAACGACGTTAGAGAACCGGCAAGGATGATGAGACA